GAGAGGCGTAGAAGTCAGAGAGGGACATGTTGATGCAGCTCAGTCCTATCTTGCCTGTTGTTTGGGAAAGATCAAGCACAGCTCCCACGTTCACTGGCACTACTGTTGCGTTGCTTTGTGAGAGTCCCAACTTCAAACACAGAATCAAACAGCAACTGAAGACGACGACGTCCACAACGTTGGCACCCATCTTCTTCATCATCGATCGTCTACGCTATCTTCGATGCTCGTCGTGTAGAGTGTGAAATGAAGACAGGTTTTATAGTCATTTTGATGTTTGAACGAGCAAGCACGCAGGACACGCCCAGAAGTGATGGATATTATTTACTTTATGTTTATTTTTTTGGTCAACACTCAAAAGTGATTTCATTGGTCATTGCTTTATATAGCGTGTGCAAGAATCTATCCTGGTTGTTGTTTGGCAATATATGTTATTCTGATGTCTCCTATATAATAATTGCTTTTTGAAACTTACGTAAGCAAGACATATAAATAAATGTTTAAAAGAATAACGAACTTAGCTGTGAAAATATAAAAGTGAATTTGTCTTGGGCTTGGGCTCAAAAACATTACAATATCAACAAGCTAAGTTCCTCTTATTAAAAGCAGAATTTAAACCTGCATCTCTATGATGATTTTCATTTATATCTTCATCGACCAAATAAACTTTTATTTACATTTATTTATGAATTTGGTTAATATTATACTTTTGGAATCACTTTTATTTCGACATCATATTAGACTATAATAACTTTAGATATCAACTATCAAGCAATAACATAATAATGTATATGTGTGTGTGTGTATATATATACATATCATATCATTAGCTTATTTTCACTCCCAATGAGTTGAGTTGGTCTAATAGAATTAATCAAAACGATGAAATTGACAGTGTTAGGAGGCTAGCTCTTCCACGAAATGAATATTCTTTCATAATCATAATTCTAACTCATGAGATGAACTTCAAATGTCAGACGAAATGTTTGCCGGCATGGATTACACCCTATATTTTAGAGGACTTTTTTGAATGTCCCTGTATGTTAATGTTGGGACTGAATCAAAGTCTCTTCCTTGTCCGAGACCCACGAAACTGAAGTCCCGTCATCACATGCAGTTTTAAGTACACACTCATTTAAATGGATTTGCATTTATTATTATTGTTTTTTCCATGCTGCCATCCATGGGTGTACTGTTTATTAATTATTTATTGGTATTCAACTATTCAGTGTCTTGACTCATACAAATTCTTGCAGCAGTACCGGCCGGTCATTGTGAATGTAAATTAAATTTCTTTTTTCGTTTTGGTCTACTTTGAACCATTCCACGCGAATTTAATTTGGTCATAAGTAATTCATCCCATTGGTAAAAGTCACGGTTTACACACTTGCTCCCTTCAAACCATTGCTTTTTTACAAGTTCTGCCTGATTCAATAAATATTTCAATTATACTCTTATTTTATTATACTCCATTCAAGTAATTAATAATAGTGTTTTAAATAAGTCAAGTGTTATATTTATTTCATTTAAGGTTGTAATTGAAAATATATAAAAAAAATTAAAATTCAAGATTTTGAGAAGAAAATATTTGTTCTAGCATTGGCCTTTACTCTAGGCTCTTCATTATCGTTCTCATAGTCACCTTCTTCCTCACCTCTCTCCCAACCAATCCCATTATTGGTCTGTCTTCCGTAGGATGCGACACTTTTCTGTTAAAATTCCAACGATGGAAGTAAGAGAAAGCTTCCGCACCCCCCCCCCCCCCAAAAAAAACCTGTTGCTTCACAAGGCAAGCTTCACTAACCCCTTCTCTCTCAAATATAATCTCTATAATCTGTTGGCTTCATATTTACATTTTCTTTTTGAATAGGATTCCCTCTTCTTATAACTTTCTTGAAGTTATTATATTTTATTTTGAAAAATTATTCCTTAGATTTTAAAATAGCAAAATAGAAAAATATTTTTTACCAATTTATTTGATCTTAAAATTTAAAAATATTTTTTTGCTAAATAATTTGATTTTAAAATATTTTGATTGTATTAATTTTTGAATATAATTTTTACCTTCCATTTATTTTGATATCTATAATGATGTAAGACATGACAGGGGTATTATTATTTGTGACATTTACTTATTTTCTTTTCTCCATATGTTCTTCCATCCATCCAAAAATAAGGAGGGATAATATTATTCTTTTAGTTTTTTCTCCTTCAAACTTTTCTTTCCATTCAAACAAACCATTAATGTAATTAGAAAAAGTTTATCATTTACTCTCAAAACTTTCAAATGATAATCTCTATTGTCAAGAAGCTCTACTTATTCTACTCACAAGAACAAGAATAACATAACAATGGAGTTAATAATATGGGTTAAGCCCATATATTAAACTCGCCAACCCACAAAACAGATGTGCGGGTTGATTTAGGGGAAAATAGATTTTTTAGGCAGGCCTGTAGGCTAACACAAAAGACCTTCTTTTTTTTCTAAAAAAAAAAAGGGACAGAAATAAGCTGAAAGTCTGAAACCCTTGCTGGCTCGCGCGCCTTCTTCTCGAGTTCTCGCTCGCTCATTTTTTATAAAGTTTGTGACATTATCATTGATCAAGAAAAATCTTCAAGCTTTAGATTGTAATTTAAACTTTTTATTATGTTTGTTTATGATGAAATATATATTTATTTTGGATTGTATTAATGTATTTTAGAAAGAATTTTATTATTATTTAGATAATTAGTTTTTAACAGAAAAATATGATTTTTTACAGCCAAAAAATAATGAAAAAAAGGTGGATCTGTAATCTTTAGAATTGAAAAAAATTATGAAGCTATTTGAAACTATTTTTTTATTATTTTAAGAATTAGTATTTTATAAAATATGTTCTGAAAATAAAAAATTATAAAAATAAGTGTTCTTTTCATTCGCTTTTGTTCTCTAAAATAATTACAGAATATTTAGAAGTTTTTTTATTTTTTTATTTTTTAAAATAATATTTTAATTTTTTATCCTTGAAAACATTTTTTATAAACATATTATTAAATAAATTTTTTTATTCTCTTATTTTAAAGAATAAAAAACTATTTTTAAAACTAATTTTCAAACAGAGCTTATATTTTGCTGGCAGGTTAGCTGGGGATGACAAGTTGGTAAAAATACAATTTATCAAGATGCAAGTTATGTCAATCCGTCTTGCCAAACTTGGAACGCGTGAATTGACATATATTACCTGCTTCACATAACGACAAGAACAAAAGGTGTACACTAACATAACTAGAGACCTCGTGTTTTTGACTTTTCGTTACCGCGTGTACAACCATTTGTTTCAAGTCAACCAAAGTTTCCATGAAGTCATTAATAATGCTAAGAAACAAATAGTCATTCGGACTGGCATCACCATTTGCTGATTTGCACGATAAAGTCAGCGAGATTCAAACAAATATTAACGTATCAATATTGACAAAAACTTGCATTAAATTTAAAATAAGCAAAAAAATTTGGCTAAAGAAAATCAAACAAAAAAAAAATCAATCTTCAGTGGACTTTGTACAGTAACAGTAAAAATCCAAAAATTACCCGTTATTGTTTTTTTAAATCAGAACTCGATGACATATTTGGTTTGAAAAGCGATGCCTCAGGTTTACGTGTAGAATCTCAATCGTTCAAAAATGAATCTGACGGTTGAGATGGAAAGTGAAAAAGAAGTGGAGAGAGAAAAAAATAGAGAGAAGTTGGGTGCCTGACACATAAACCTGAGACAAATAATTTTATGAAACATCAAATCTCAATCGTTCAAAAATAAATCTGATGTTTGAAATGGAAAATAAAGAAGAAGTGGAAAGAGAAAAAAATAGAGAGAAGTTAAGTCCACACATTAATGCAGCCTTTTTGTAGTATTCACTTTCTAGGTTTTATTTGGTTCTTTACATTTTGTCTTTTTCTTTATTTCAAAAGCACTGAATTTCTTCCATACCGAACTTGCTAATTATACAAGAACATTCAATTATTAAAAAAAATGATCTTAGTTGACGTGATATACGAAAGACGCAATAATACTGCTTCTTTATTGTCCTCTGCCTTTGTCACCCATAACTATTTTATGAATATTATTGACCTCATCACTCTTAAATTAAATTTTTACTTTTATTTGTATGCCATATATTATTGAGATGGTTTAATTTTTCATTTAGTTGGCCTATCATTATCATTATGCTTCATATTTTACTTTACTTGATTAATTAACATGAAACTTTAAACAAACATTTGACTTAATCTAATTTTGAGGTATTTTCTCGTGCATTTGCACGAGTGAGATATTAGTTTCATAAAGTTGGTGACAAGGCAAACCTACATTGTCTCTACCCCCATTAAATTTTTGAAAACCACATATAAATTATACAATGGTTTTATGTTATGCTCTCACCGCTTTGTCCTTTTTGAACCCGCTGACAAAGAAAATAAGAAAGAAAGAAGCACATATTATCCTTATTGTTCTGTTCAGAGTGTAAGAGAAGAAAAGACAATGGAGAAAAAAATTATTTGGCAGCATGGGGATTTGATTTTGAATGGAATGATTTGCTTATGGGATAAATGTTCATTAGAGTGCTTTGCTTCAGTTTTAACTATTAATGAATTTTAGTCATTTTGATTTAGCTTAAGTGGTCATTGTAGTTTATTTCAAAACTTTAATTTTCAAGTGATTATGGTCTTTAAACTTATATTTTTGGGTTTTGAATTTAACTTGTCATGACATTAGTGTTTTAATTAATACTAGTCTCTTAATGAAAACACTAATATCATGAACATAAGTTTAAAGGAAGAATATTTTTTTAAAAAAAGGTAGCCTATTAGATAGTATAATCTTTCACACTTATAAAACTTACTATATTTGTAAAGTTTTTCAACATAAAACTCATGACACCATATTAATTTTCATTTAATTTTACATGTTAATTATTATTTTTATTTAATTTTAAAAAATATTGCCCCCATTGGCGTGGGTCTTGGGTCCGCCACTACTTGGTGGGATATCAATAAAAAATGAAAAGCATGCACTACAGAACAAGGGCGAGGCGCTACGGACCATTCATAACTTGCTAGCTTACGGTAGCTCATGTGTGTCAGTGATGTATACATGTGCTATGATTTGCCTTGCTAAACAGATGTGTTGCTATATGAGATGTTATATCGTGCAAGATGGTTATTCCAAGTCTTGAGGTTCATGAACATTCGGATCAGCCTCTCCTGAAACCATTTGCATGATCTCCCTCAAATGAAAAGTTTGATTCAGCCTGGCATGAGGGACTTGGAGGGCAGGGTGATGCTGGAGACGCTTCTACATCCAATCCATGATTACTACTACCACCTTCCCTCCTATCTCGCACTTCCTTCTTCTTAAAGGTGTGAGAGTCCTCATTTCTCTGGTCAAATATCTTTAGCAATATCACAAGTCGTCTCCAGATTGAAATCCTGGGATTGTAGTGCACTGCCCAATTATGTCTATTCTCATTTAAGAATTCAATGGTAAAGATGGTGAGTGCTACTGCTGAAGAAATTCCTGCAATGAGAAACAAACCCCAAAAGCTCTCAAGGCCTAGACTATCAGAAGAAACTGGAGCACCCGACTGCACACAACTGTTTTTATTGAACCATGCGTTCTCTATTTTTCTCATTTCAGCCCCTTGAGTTACATTCAGTATTGCCCTTGAAATCTCAGCAACGAAAGGAGAACCCTTAGGAAAGACCTGCAATACCCCCAAAAACATTCCTGATAATTATTAACTTACGATCATAACAGATATAGCAGAATGTGGAAATGTGGTGGTGGAACTTACAAAGCCAAGGCCTCCAGTTTTAAAAATTGTTCCCAGCGAGACGAACTTAGAGCAGTAGGTTCCCATAAAGAGTTTTGCGTAAGGAATTTCATCGAAGGCAGCAGCAATGCCTCCATTTTCACTACCTTTTGTCAAAAGATCATTGCAATCTTCTGTTGAATTGAAGTATTTGAATTGGTAATCTTGAACGCCCACTCCTTTCAATAGCTTTTCCACAAAAGAATTTTTTCTGCAGCCCACGTTTAGCTTTCTATTTACCAATTCATTAACATTTGTAACTGCTGGGCGTAACTGCTCAACTGTCAACAATGATGTGAGACTCGCAGTATAGCTTTGAACTAGAATTAATACTACGAAAATCCATATGATCACTACAAATCTGGCCAAGTTGCTCACCACTTTCTCCCCTGCAAAAACCATTGAATCTAAAATGGGTAATTCATATGATATGATGAAATCGAACCGCTGCTGCTAACTGAAATCATGTTTTGGAAATAATATGATGGGTAACGCTTAGTTTACCATGAGATGACACCATGGTTGAGAAAGAAAACCACAAGCTGGTGCCAATCTGATGCGAAGGAGGACCTCTAAAACTTTTGTTTACTCGATGTTCCAGGATCCAAACAACAAAACCAATGAACACGAAGAAACAACCAGCTGTTGCCCAGAGGTCACTAGTTAATGGCTTCAAGAATGCCCATACATTCTTCTTCCTGTCATCTTTGAGTGCAACAATCATAGTTACTCCTGATTCTGTGTATGGCATTGTGAAATCCACATAGTTCGATCTATTTGCTATAATTGCTACATCCCCCACCACTGCATCATATTTCTGTAAATCCCAAATTACTTATTACTAAGCCTAGTAAAGATATTTGTGAAGGTGTAAATAATGTGGATGCAAACATAATTCAATAAAGAACAACAAAGGGGCTGGGGAGTGAAGGAGTTAGAGAGAATTACCCCATAATAGACTTGGCTTATCAACTCACTGTATGACCCTGCAGGTTCACCATTGGGCTTTGCAAATGGGATAAATTCATATCGCAGAAAGTAAGGCAAAACTTTTAACATAGCCTTGAATAAATCTATGCAGAAGCCAGTGACTTCGGTTCTATTAGTGATAGGATCGTGAGTTATTTTCACTAATTCAGTGTAACCAGTTCTCACTGGAACTCCAATCCTCATCTTTTGAGCATTTGTAGGATTGTCCCAACCCTTTGGAATAGAGTGAGTATCCCCTGGCCATATGATTGGTCCAAAACTGTTTTTGGATAAAGAATTTATGCTTGTGTTCGTTGAATCCAGCCTTCTAACTAGTCCCCTCTGTGATGTCCAAAATCCTATCCTCCTTTCTCCGTTACCAATCACATTAGTAATCTCAAATGTCGATGTTTGCAACTGCTCGTCACCAACTTTGAACTCTCCACTTAGGCCTCTGAATATGGTGTTTGATAATGCTTCACGAAGATTTTCTCCATTTACCGAAACTCCGAGCCTTTCAAGACCAGTCAAGTTTACTGAAGCTCTGGTCTTCAGGAAGACGAAGTTTGTGGTGCCAACTTTCTCAACCGCCATAGCTAATGCGGTGGTAGCATCATAAGCCCAGAGCCCTAAAACATTCAAATTTGAACCAGCAAAAGTTGGATTGTCTTGCAGGAACTTTATTTTCCATCGAACCTTAAAATCCTCTAGCTCTTTCGTTTTGGGAATATAGGTCCTCACTGCCAATACACCCTGCATTGATTCTATCACAGAGGAATTCAAAGAGCTCAACTCATTTGCCAAACCGTTAGTGATGATCCAAACATATCCCTCTGCCATCATTCCAATCTTCTGTGCTAAGGTGAAGAGAGTGGAGCCAAGATCAGAAGACATGTGAACAATGAACACTCTGGTTTGCATGGTCATTAGCTTGTAGAGCTCTTCTGTAATATCTTCATCAGTGGCTGAAGGGAAAATGGCACTGAGATATGGGATTCGTACATTCACTTGTTGCAGAGCATCAGTTAAGAAGGGTATGACCCCCTTCCCATAATCGTTGTCGATGTAAATGGGCACTGCTTCTTTCCACCCAAAAGCTTCCACGATCGCTCTAATGGCATTCACTTGAGCCGAATCATTTTGTGCAAATCGAAAAAAATATGGACTCCCAAGTGAAGCAAGATAAGGACTCGTTGCTGAGAATGTTACAATGGGCACACGAGCTCTGTTTCCTAGACTGATCACAAAGTTGGCCTGCATCGATGTCAACGGTCCTATTATGGCTTGCACTTCCTCTGTTTCTATGAGATCCATGGCTATCAATCAAGGACATACAGGAATCAGAAACATGTTTGACTTTATACTTCTTGAGTTGCCTTGACTACTAGTAATTCAAGAAGACAGAGACAATGAAACAGTAGGTCACAATGATCAAAATCAAGAACATACTATGCATAAATAAAAAGCTTTCATGCCAACACATAACACACTCACAAGGCTCGCAAGCAAATTTAGAAGGAGGGAGAGACAGAGAGAACCTTGGGCAGCGGCAGCAACGACGCCTCTGCGAGAGTCCTTGACATTGAAGACGAGCCTAGTTCTGTAATGAGAATGAGAGGCATAGAAGTCAGAGAGGGACATGCTGATGCAGCTCAATCCTATCTTGCCGGTTGTTTGGGCAAGATCAAGCAAAACTCCCACCTTCACTGGCTCTGTTGTGTTGCTTTGTGAGAGGCCCAGCTTCAAACACAGAATCACAGAGCAATAGAAGGTGAGGGCTTCAATAACTTTAGCACTCTTCTTCATCGTCTTCTGTTATCAAGCTAGCAAGTTTACCTTTATTTAAAAAGGTCAAGGTCATATTTATAAGCTTTTTATTTTTTTTAATTTTTAAAAATTAAAAATTTTAATTATAACATTTTATATATTTTTAAAATATAAATTATAATATTAAAAAACTAAAAATAAATAATAGAAAATTAAATCTTAAAGTATAAATATATATTTTAAATTTTAAATTTAATTTAAAAGATAAAAATATTTATTTTTTTAGAGTTAAAATAAAAAAGGACCTAAAAGAATTGCCCGATCTCATTTTTTCAGAGTCTATTAGGACTGGGTTTTAAAACTCAGTTTTTCTAAAAAAAATATTTTTTCAAATCCAATTTCTTATAAAAATGGACTTAAATGAGCAATCCATCAAACTCAATCCTTATTTTCAACTCTAAAGTTAACATATAATACACACGTAGAAGCGTGTTTAATCCCTACGGTTTGCAGAAAGATCCGAAAACAAATCTCTCCTATTGAATGAAAATAACTAATAACAACTTATTCTCTTCAGCAACCAATTTTGCCGTCTGTGACTTCAATTGTTGTTTCGTGCAAACTTCGTGGCAAGTATCATGCATTTATATATTTCTATACAAGCCAAGAGTTGGCATCCATCCATCTGTCACTGGAAAAGCCACAAGAATTATTGTTTATTTTGGAGGGTATTACTCTAATTTCTCTACCTAATAAACTTTGCAAATTATAATTCACTTTTATCATGTTTTATCATAATTAAAAAATTTAAAATTTATTAACCCCATTTAAAAAATAGTAATAAATTATTAACTTTATTTTTATTAAATATATATATTTAAATAACGTACTTTCTCACTAATATTTAATAAAAGGTAAAAGAAAAAAAGTTATGGTAAAAATTTAATAACTTGACGTACAAATAAGACAAAACAAAAATCTTCTCAGACTATCTCATAAATAGAATTTAAAAAGGTATTGATTTTGAAACTGGTAAAACATTACGCGTTTTCTTTTATTTATTAAAAAAAAAAAAAAACCCGTCATTAGCATCTGCCTGGAAATAAAAGGCAGGGGAACTAATATAAATTTCTAAAAGAATTGTGGTCAGAGAAAAATATTCCAAAATGAATGGAAGAAAAATTAATGACAGTGTGGCTTGTTGCTTTGGTGATTAATGAAACCCAAGTCACAATAAACCCAAGTCACAATATTCCAAAAAAAAAAATGTTTTCTAACTTGTACGTTCTAGGAATATAGAACATCATCCTTGTTGGCATGTACATATATAGAGAGAGAGAACATCCTCGTCAATGCATTCAGGGCGGAGGCGATGCTGCCAGTCAAGTCGTTTTATCTCATACGCAAAAGAGAGCAATAAAAAGGGAAGAAAGTCAAGAAGTCAAAAAAAAAAAAAAAAAACCTTTGAACAAGGCGAGTCATTGTGTGTATCAAAATGCAGTTTTTTCATCGCAACTGTCCCGTCAAACAAATATAATTTTCAACTAATTTAAAAATAATAAAATTAAACTCAATTAAATCATTATACAACTTCCGTGAAGAGAAAGAATGGGCTGGTAAACCAACCAACTTTAACCGGAAGCTTCTGATGAATTCATGTACATTGGAATTATTATGTCCGGCAAATTCTTGAAGCTCTCCTTTTTTTTTTTTTATTAAGGGGATTAAGCTCCGCATTTACATTTAAAAAAAAAACTTTAGCAAATTTAGCCAATATTATATAATTAAATAAAATTAATAACCCACATTTTATTAAATTAAAATAATGACTGTTTTTTAATTTACCTTTAATACAAAAGACAAAATTACCCTTTAACACCATAATACCCTGATTCCCTTTTTTTACACTAGTTTCACTTTCATTCACCCGAAGATATGGAGATGACACTGCACTCTCAATCACAATAATAAAAAAATTGACAGTAGACAACAAAACAGCTCACACCAATAGATAAACAGAGTTTAAAATTTAGCTAGAAGACTATAAGAACGTAAGGCAAGGCAGACTGAAAGCTATAGATTCAAGTTGAAAAATCACGAATGCAAGGTGATAAAGTCTGAAACTACAGCTTTTACACAAAGCCACACTAAAGCTACGAATCCAAAGTGAGGAAGTTCAGTTAAACTCTGTTACAAAAGTTAAAGTTCAAGCGAGGGTTTTTTGAGATTTTATTTGATCTATTTTGAGAAAATAATTATACATTTTTTGTGTTGCTGATCTGCGATACTATATCATTGATATACAACTGCATATTAATTATAAATAAGTTTATGTCTGATTATATGATTATATTAATCTACGATAGTATATCAATGATATAAAATTATATATCACTAATATATAAGCCATATCAGTAATTTTAACTCACCAATTTATTTATCATTGATATATAATTGTATATCAATAATATAGTATCGCAGGTCAGTAATAGAATTTTCTTTTTAATGTCCAATGTCCTCTTCATAATATCTGAAAAAAACAAAGAGAGAGAGAGAGCAAGAGAGAGGGAAAGTTTTATGATGATAGTGATCCAGCAAAATTAGATAAAAAAATTTTGATAAAAAAAAGCACTGTATAAGAGATGAATATGATGATAAAAAAAATTAGATCAAAAAATATGATAAAGAAAATATTTAAAGATGATAAATCAGAGAGAGAGTACGCACAATATGATTTTTGATGATAAAAATGACAAATCCAATCAGCTAAAGGTTAGTTAAATCAAATATATTTTGTTTTAATAATAAATTTATTCTGAGGATAAAAAAGAAAAACACATCTAATTGATTTTATGAATGGGTCATATTTTAAAATATTTAAAAACCTCATCCATAATTTATGAAAGTTGTATTTTTTGAGGTCATTGAGCTAATTTTTTCCTTAAAAAATCTGAAATTAAAAAATAATAAATATAGGATACAAAATTAATTTAACTATGGCCAAATGTTTTACGTGTATAAAAAAAATTACTTATTAGTTAACGAAGAATCTCTAGTTGTTAACTAAGTAGACTTTTTGGATACTTATTTAATTAATGAAAAAATATTTTACAGTTATCAAACAATTATTAGATCATAACTAAAGTATATCACATTGTAAAAGTTACAATTTTTATGCTTCAAACAAATAACACAAGTTCAGCTAAACTATAAATTGCATCACACAAGTTCAGCTAAAACGATAAATTGCACGTTCAACGTACCCCATTTAAAATCTTTCTTGGAAATTTCTGATGGTTTTTTTTTTAAACTCTTGCAACCCAAAGAGAAAGATGGTTGTCAACCCCCCGCCCCCAAAATAAAAAAAATAAAAAAAAAACAGAGAGATGATTGTTATCCGGTCTAAGTGCCTTTTGATTTTTTTTTTTTAAATGTATATTATTTTAATGAAATTTGTATCTCAATATATATTTTTTAAAAATTGTAAAAACTCCTAATATTAATGTTGGGTGAAAGCGCATTTCAAGTAGTTCAAGACTGACTTATGAAATGGGTTTTCAGATATCTAGGATTTTATCTCATTTCAAAAGGATTTTTCATATGCAAATTAAACGTGAATTATCAAACATGCTATAAGTCTTTAATTCGATGCAAAGTTTGGTTTGTTTATGTGGTTGGTTCGAGTAATTTGTCATCTTTTAGTTGGTTCATTTATGTGCTACTCCTTCTCATCTTTTTTATGAGCATCAATTAACAGCTAAAATAAATTTAAAAAGTTAGTTAAAATTAGTTCTCTAGTAAAATTTTACTAATATCCTTAATAAAAATTACTTGTTAGAGAAGTTTATTTTATTAATTAAAATATTTTATAATTAGTTAGGGATATTAGTTGAAAAAATTAAGGAAGAATTGCACTGCAAGTCCCCAAAACCAGCATATTTGCATTAAAGGCTCAATGAAATATAAAATAATTCTGTAGGTCCAAAGACCCCTCTTGCAATTAAGTTTTTGGATGAAAAGATAGGATTGTCCTTTATGAAATAAATGGATATTTTCTTGAAAATAAGTGGACTTTTATTGTTATGTACAAACTTTCTATTATAAATTTTATCTAAAAAATTGTAAATTTTATTTCCTCCAACAAGTATAAACATGTGAACTATGTGAAATAAAGAAACATTTTATTATAAATAAATAGACTTTAAATGTTATTTACAACATTTTTATTGTAAATTCTTTCTATGTAATTTGTAAATTATATTTTATTTCTTTTAACAAATGTAAATCAAGTAAATTATGTGAAATAAACAAATATTTTGTTGTTAATATAAATAGACTTTAAATGTTATTTATAAATTTTCTGTTGTAAATCATGTAGATAATATGAAATGAATGTTTGTTGTTAATAACTTGATTTTAAATATTATTTACAAATATTTTGTTATGAATTTTCATAGGGACAATTTCCCATCTTTTCACAAAAAAAAAAAAGAATTACACAAAAGGCATTTGGACCTTCAAAATTATTTTAAATTTTATTACATCTTTAACATGAACATGTTAGCTCCAAGGGCAGTGCAATTTTTTGAAAAATTAATGCTTTAAATAAAATATTTTATGTTAAGAAATATGCGGACGGTTCTTCTTGATAAAAAAAAGAGAGGAAGTACTACCTAAATTCGCTTAGCATCTCCATATGATGTTCCCCCTATAGTTGTGTGTATGGTGTATTTATATTAACCATTTTTACACAATGTATTCACGTATTTTAGACTTCCTTTTAAGTTTTAACCAGTGTTTTCAAGATCAAATCAACTCGGACTGTTGAACCAGTCCCACTGTCACCCCACCTTGATAATGGCTCGATCAAGCCAATTAGATCGATTAGACAATTGGACCAAATTAAATCAGACTAGCTTAAATCGGATCTTAAAGCGGGTCAAAAGTAGGGTTAGGTAAAGAAAAAATGCCGGTCACACAGTGCATTTTGATTCATTTTCACTTCTTCATTTCTTGTTCTCCAACCATTCACTCATATTTG